CAAACGGCAACGTGTTTCTTTATAGATCTATTATTAGATCACTCTTCTCTACGGTGGCCATCCCGAACAAAGAACCAAAACAGATGTTGAAATAAAACAGGATCTCCTCCTGCTGCAGGATCAGGGGGGGGGGGGGAAGACCGAAAAAAAAAGACAAAAAAAAAAACAAAAAAATATACAAAAAATATACCAACAAAAAATGAAAGACAAAAAACAAAAACAAAAAAAGACGGAAAAAAAACAAAAAAAAACAAAACAAAGAAGAAGCCTAAAGAGTACAGTCAGATAAACTTGTGTCCCACCATATCATATAATCTCCTGAAGCCGTTTTGTTTTTGAAGCCGCCGCAACTTAAGCGAACTAACCATTCACTCTATGGAAGCCGAATAACCAGCCATTCACACAATCGGAGCCGGATTAACCAACCACTCTGGATGAATTAAGCCGTTATCGGAGCCAGATTAATTAGCCAAGCATTCACACAATCGGACCCATTGTCGAAACCAACCTTCATGAAGGCGATTTTTCGAAGATTACTTGCAAAAAAAGTGCTCTTTATTCCAGGCCGGGGCAACAAGAACATACACACAAACACACACACACACACACACACACACATATATAAACTCCGACGAAACAGTTTGTCACAGCCCCCCTCGTTTGTTGTCCTCTTCTCCCTCTCCCTCTCCCTCTCCCTCTCTGCCTACGGTTTACCGAGGAGCTCTGTTCGACTCTCTCTCTCTATATATATATATCACAGCCCCTCGTTTGTTGTCCTCTTCTCTCTCTCTGCCTACGGTTTACCGGGCAGTTCTGTTTGTGACGATATATATATATATTCTATTTGACGATATATATATATATATATATCGTCACAAATAGATGTAATATATATATATATATATTGCATATATGTAGCGACGTCAAATAGAGCTGCCCGGTAAACGCTAGGCAGAGAGGGAGAAGCGGAGAAGAGGGAAACAAACAAGGGGCTTCCGTCGGAGTTTCACCGACCCATCAAAGAGGCTGAACAATCCACAGTCTGCAGAGTCCCCTAACCGACTATACTGAAAGTGATAATCCACCTTAACCCCCGTTAAGCATTTATAACGACTGCCCGACAACTACATCTATCCATTTAACCTTTATATTTCCATACACATATAGCTCTGTTTGACTATATATATATACACATATATATCCGGTATATATATATCGTCAAATAGAACTGCCCGGTAAACAGTAGGCAGAGAGGGAGAAGAGGACAACAAACGAGGGGCTGTGACAAACTGTTTCGTCGGAGTTTCACCGACTCATCTATATATATATATATATCCGGTATATATATTGTCACAGGAATATCAGAGCGCATATGTATATATATACATATCCGGTATATATATCGTCACAAACAGAACTGCCCGCTAAACCGCAGGCAGAGAGAGAGAAGAGGACAACAAACGAGGGGCACATATCCGGTATACTTATACATATATTCTGATGAGTCGGGGAAACTCCGACGTCACAATCCTTTCAGAAATCGAGGGGAGACAGAAAAGAGTTACTGTAATTAGTTGGGAGACAGAAATTGTAAAGCCGGACGGAGGGAAGAAAGTGAGAGATTTTGAGGAAAAAAAAACTTTCCGCGTTAGGAAGCACATAGTAATTTTCAAACGAAAAAAAAAAAAAAAGAACTCCAAAAAAGGGAGAAAAGGTTGGTTTTACAACAGCTCCTAACCCCGATAAATCCTTTTCGATTCTTGGAATAAAAAACTGTTGTAGTGTTTGTATTAAAAAACGAAATGAATGAAACATAAACTCATCCTAATCAACTCGTCCACGTCATCAACAACGACTGCGATCAACTCGATTAAAAAGGAGCTTAAAAATATATATATATATAAATATAAAAAAAAGGGAACTTGATTTAAAAAAAAAAACGTCAATCAATTAAAATCATCCCACTCAACTGCTCCACGTCATTCATTCCCCCCATAACGCATATTTCTTCTCTAGTCAATCAACGCGCCCATCTACCTAAAAGCCCCTCCCTCCCTCCTCCTCTGGGGCCTCAAACCCTCACTACAAAGCACCGGAATAAAAAAAGGAAAAAAAGAAAAAAAAGAAAAAAAACCTACACTATACACTCCTCCGCGTGCCCTGACAGGAATCAAACTCCTTGAGAGGCAATCATCAAAACTCATCTGATCCCCCCCCCCCCCTCCTCTTTCTGATCGGTAATTTTTAGTTTCGTTGGGGAGGGTTCGATTCCCCCCCCCCCCGATCCCCCCCCCTCCCCCGCCGCGCTGATCATCTGGATTCAGCATCGAGAGACTATGTATTCGGAGCAAGGAAAGGCACTTCCCGCCCTCATTGACGCTCGGTTTTCGTGTTGTTGTTTTTTTTTATTTTTTTTTCGTTGGTGATTCAGGTTTCGATCCCCCGTCGTCTCGGTCATCATCTGTCATTCAGCCGAGAGAGAGAGAGAGAGAGAGAGAGAGAGAGAGAGAGAGAGAGCAACCCTTTGGAGCTTGGAACGCCGCTTCCCGCCCTCATTGGCACTCGATTTTTTATTTTATTTTTTTGAACCGTCATCCCGCTCATCATCTGTGATTCAGCATCGAGAGAGAGAGAGAGAGAGAGAGAGAGAGAGAGAGAGAGAGAGAGAGAGAGAGAGAGAGAGAGAGCAACCCTTTGGAGCTTGGAACGCCGCTGCCCGCCCTCATTGGCACCCAGCTTTCTCCTTTCTTTTCGCCTTCATTGGTAGGGTAAGGTCTCGATCCCCCGCTCGATCCCCGGTCATCCCGCTCATCATCTGTGATTCAGCATCGAGAGCGAGAGAGAGAGAGAGAGCAACCCTTTGGAGCTTGAAACGACGCTTTCCACCCTCAATGACACCCAGCTTTCTCCTTTCGTTTGCCTTCATTCGTGGGGGGTGAGGTCTCGATCCCCCATCGTCCCGCTCATCATCTGTGATTCACGATCGAGAGAGAGAGAGAGAAAGAGCAACCCTTTGGAGCTTGAAACGCCGCTTCCCGCCCTCATTGGCACCCCCCGTCGTTTTTTTTTTTTTTTTTTTTTTTTTTTCCTTCGTTGGTGAGTCAGGTTTCGATCCCTCGTCTTCCTGCTCATCATCTAATCATCTGTGATTCGGCATCGAGAGAGAGAGAGAGAGAGAGAGAGAGAGAGAGAGAGAGAGAGAGAGAGAGAGAGAGAGAGAGAGAGAGAAAGAGAGAGCACCCCTTCGCAGCTCCGAAAGCTGCTTCCCGCCGTCATTGGCAATTTGGCACCCAGTTGTCTCTCCTAGGTTTCGATCCCTCGTGGTCCCCGCTCATCATGTGCCACTCAGCATCGAGAGAGCACCCCTTTGGAGCTGGGAACGGCGCTTCCTCGTCGAGGATCAGCCTCCGCCGCCTGTCGCAAGGCGCGCGCAAATGCTTTGAATGTGGCCTCGATTATGTGGTGGGAATTTTTTCCCGCCAACTGCCGAATATGCAGCGTCATTCCCGCGGTGTTGACAAGGGACTGGAAAAAGTGCTCGACCAGTTGGGTGTCGTACGTCCCGACGCGCTGAGTCGGGATCTCCAGATCGCAACTCAGGTGGGGGCGGCCTGAGAGATCGAGCGCCACGTGGACAAGCGCCTCGTCCAGCGGAGCGGTGAAGTCTCCGAATCTCACGATACCCTTCCTGTCACCGAGAGCTTTGAGCAGAGCAGTGCCCAGAGCGAGAGCGATATCTTCGTTGGAGTGGTGGTCGTCGATGTGTGTGTCCCCTTCTGCTTTGACAGTTAGGTCGAACAGCCCGTGAGAGGAGAGCTGGTCCAGCATGTGATCAAGGAAAGCGATCCCGGTGTCGCAGGTGGAGATCCCGGTGCCGTCTAAATTAATGCTGACTTCAACATCCGTCTCGTTTGTCTTCCGTACAACCATTGCCGTGCGTGGTAGGAACTCCTCCTCCTCCTCCTCCTCAAGCTCCTCCTCCTCAAGCTCCTCCTCCTCCTCGTCCTCAAGCTCCTCCTCCTCTCCCTCCTCCTCCTCGTCGGCAATTCCTGAAGAGGTGAATTCGAGAGCGCCGGGGGCAGTCGCGCCAAGGGCAAAACTCATCCTCCTCCTGCCACGTGTCCGAGAAGGCGGCATCCACGTGGCAGCGCTTGTCCCGGCTGCTGCTGCTGCTGTTGGTGATGGTCCTGTCGGAGCTGCTGACGTCATCGAGAAACCAGCCTTGACCTTGATTGGCTCCCATCTGTGAACGGCCGGACGCAACAGACAGTAGTCCCCCCACAGCCCATCCTCCTCCTCCTCCTCCTCCTCCTCCTCCTTCCTTTCTCCATCATTAGCCTCTGTCGTGTGAGAACTGCCCCCAAGGAGGCATTGAGCCCTCAAAGGCTCTCGTTTGCGATGAGTCCGCGTCAGCGCGCACGTGGCGATCCCGGCCGCCCCCCCTATCGCGATCCCGGATTTCAGGCTTGCCAGACCAGCGACCGCGCCGGACGATACCCGCAGTCGCGACTGACCGACCGCGGGGTCCGGACCCGCGGAGGAGGCCGCCACTGACGTGGACACCCATAGACCACAGCTCGCAGCCTGACACGTGGCAGCGCACCCGGTTAGGACTGCTGACGTCATCGCCGTATTTTTAGACGGACCACCAGGCAATCAGGAAATCAATCAATCAATCAACCAATGAACCAATCAATCAACGCTTCCGCGTTACTCGACGTGCTGTGTAATATGGGGCAAGAAACACCAAGGGGGGGGAAAAATCTAGTATTAGTACGGATTGATTATCCGTTCATCACGATAACAGATCTGAACGGTTGGGCGTGCGGGCGCCGACTCTTCCTTTTCCTCGGGCCTCGCTCCCCTAGATAGCGTTCTACATGCATGTTGACGCTTTTCCGGATCAGGTGCATTCGCAGGAGTCCAACACTATTATGAATGTATCAGCACGATTAGGACCTCCAGATACATACCAAGTGTTGTGTCATGGATGGGAGCGAGGCGCCAGTACCTTTCCCGGAGAGGTGATGCATGCTGCCCCGCGCCCTAATCGGCGGTGGCAAAACTTGGTAGTGGAAAAAAAGAAAGAAAAGAGGAAAGACCAGAGACCCCACTGTCGTAAAACAAAGGAAAAATAAGGGAAAAAAATACGCATTAGGATCAACCCGAATCATTTGGCCCTTCTCCATTGGCTGTGTGAGCATGGCTTTCATTGCAGAATCCAGAAATTGGGCCTCCCATCACTGCAGAAGCTTTCCCTTCGGTTTCTTTCTTGTGGGATATACTTGCTTGCCCACAACACAGGGGAGGGGCTCTACCTAAGGTTGAGGGCAAGAGGCCTTGCAGCCCGTGCTTTTTTTTTTTTTTTAGCTACCTCTCACAATCAAGGGGATGCATGTACCCCCCGCCCTAATCAGCGGTGGTCAGGGAGTACGGTTGGGGGGGGGGGGGGGAGGGGGGGGGGGGGGGGGGGGAAGGGGGTGCAGTTGATGCAAAGACCGAGCATTTTGCCTGTAGCTGTGCCTCCCAACTACGCCCCTTGCCCCCATTGAGTAACAGCCGTGTCTATGGCCAGCACTCACACACCACACACAACCCCCCCCCCTCTCCCCCTACCCCTACCGACCAGAGGGACCAAGCCAACTATCTCAGTTGGTTGGCACCAACATGTCACCAAGCACGTCCAGGTGGTCGGTGGAGATTGAACCCACGACCTCCTGAAGGCCGCATTGCATGCCTAACCTAATTGAGCTAGGCGGCTTAATCTGTTCTGTTGTTGCCTTGGGCACTGAGCCCATTTTGAAAAGAAAAAAGAGGAAAGAAAAGAAAGGGGAAAATGAATTTGGAGTGTGCCCCACTTGGGGAGGTTTGGTTCTGTTTTTTTCAGCATGGTCACACTGTGGCCGAGAGATTTTCAGATGGGATGGCAAGGTCCCGTGGATACTCGGGACCAGAACTAAACCTCCTCAAGCGGGGGCAGAGGCCCAATTCATTCCAAATGTTGGACCACTCCAAGGGCCTCCCTGCAGGACTCTTGACATGCACAAAAGACAAAAATCATGGCGGTGTATCTTTCCATATTCTAGCAGAAGATTCAGTCCCGTTTTGCACATTTCTAGAGTAGTGCAGCGAGGCCCCAAATGCCGTCAACAATCCCGTCCACATAAATGTAGAAATGTTGTGTAGTGGAGCCAGGCCCAGGGCCACTTGAGTGTGGAGACATAGACAGAACTGAAATATCCCGTGTGGTACCAGTTTTCGCGAGAAATGGCCATCGCCGTGCAGGGAAGGCGGGGGCGCGCAGTTGTGAACATCTACCTAATCCAAAAACTATATATGCATCAGCCTAGCTCAACGGGTACACGTATGAAGTGTTGAAACATAGACCTGAGTTCAAATCCAGATAATGCAACTTGATGAGTAACAGCAAATATTTCTGAATTGACTGGGGCCGGTCAGCTTGTGAGATATCTCAAGGTTGTCACCCTTCTGTTTTTCTTTTCTTTTTTGTAAAGTATCTTTGAACTTCCAATACGGGCTACGCGACGGCTTTTCAGACGGAGAGGCGGGGGTATGTACGTGGAATCACATTTTCGAATTAGATCTCGCCTTCGCTCACCACATAGTTCAGGATCCAACGTGGAAGGCCGCAGTCTAATCGTTTTTTCCTTAAACCACCAGTACTTGGCCCAGCTATCAAGCCCGAGCCTCGGGCGACCGGTATGCTGAGCCTCACCGAGGCTCGAACTACTGGGCGCTAACCTCCCGAACGTCCTTCGAGAAGAACACGGAAAAAAGAACAGAAAAAAAAGGGCAGAAAAATGGGATTTACTCTAGAAAACATGGAAAAAAGAAAAAGAGAAAGAGAGAGAGAGAGAGGGGTCTCTCTCTCTCTCTCTCTCCCTCTCTTTCTCACGCACGCGCGCGCTGACGTTTCCAGTGTCTATTTCGAAACGGGAATGGATCTTCCCGCGAAAGTGGGAAGATTCACTCTCGTTTTTCATTTTTTTTTAAGAGAGAGAGAGAGAGAGAGAGAGAGAGAGGTGGCGAGTTCGCCGCGGCCCTCCGAGCAGGCCGCTGCCTCCCCCCCCCCCCTCTCTCTCCCCCCCTCTCTCTCTCTCTCTCGCACGCACCCCGAATCGTTTCCATAAAACGGGAATGGATCTTCCCGTAAAAACGGGAAAATTCATTCCCGTTTTCGTCTTTTCGAAACGAGAGAGAGAGAGAGA